CCATCCTGGCCAATATGCTAAAACCTCGTCTCTACTAAAAGAAAAAAAAAAAAATTAGGCGGGTGTGGGTGACTTGTGCCAGTAGTCCTAGCTACTCAGGAAGCTGAGTTAAGAGAATCACTTGAACCTGGGAGGCGAAGATTGCAATGAGCCAAGATAGCGCCACTGTGCTCCAGCCTGAGTGACAAAACAAGACTTCATCTCAAAAAAAAAAAAAAAAAAAAAAGTTCACAAATAGTTTGTTCTAGAAAATAATTAGGCAGAGAGAGGCAGAATAGATCATTTACAACCTCTACTCAGAAAATAAAAATAAAAATAATTAGCTAGGTTATTAGGACAAAACCATGTCATATATTTAAAATTATAGAAGTTCAGACAATTAGAGCCGCATCACAGATCACACACAGAGGGCAAGTTTCCAGGTAACCAATACCTATGAAATAGGAAGTATTCATGGGAAATGTAAACAGAAGGAGAAATTGTACTTCATAAGAGACTGCACGTATGTGAGAAGCCATTTTGACAATAGGATGAGAACTGTGAAAGGGACAGTAAGCCACACAGAAATATATTCCTGGGCAATAAGAAAAATACAAATATAAAAAATTAATATTTACCAATATTTTGTGCCAGACACTGTATTACTCATTTTCCCAAAACCATTCTGTAGCGAATTTTATTTTCTGATAAAACTAATAAAAATATAGAACCAAATGATCTAATTTTTAATTTACATACTAATTGTCTATACATAAAAACACAGAATTTATAAATAGGAATTTATTTTAATCTTTCAATATGTCACTAAGTCATCTTAAAATATAGCTATGAATATCCATGTCAACACACTTTGAAAAATAACCAATTTCCATACTGCCAAATTTAATTGAAAGTCTTCCAATATAAAAACTTATTTCTAGAGAGATCAAGCACTTAAAAATGATTTCTGCCATAAAGGTCTTCTGAGTTTCAGTAGTATATGTATTATTTACACTTCTTGCAATGTAGTCAAAAGCATTTATGTCCAGAAAATATAAAACAGAGGTGAGGTACCGACAGCTCAACCTAAGTTCTCTCTAATTAAGCATAGGTACACACATACAGATACACACATAGGTACACTAAGATAATATAATTAGCCTTACTCATCCATGAATATATTTTAAATCTGCAAGAAGTATATATCATAATAAGGAAAAAAAAAACCTTAAATTTCATTTGACATATGCACAGAACACTAGGACACATGCACAGAACACCATAGAGAAATCAGTTTATAATGAGGAACTATTCTAAATAAATTCAGTACCTAAGTTTTGTTTGTTTGTTTTTTAGATTTTTTATTGATGCTTTAAATTTGAAAGAAAACTCACATTATCACCAATAGGTAAATTCCTCTAGGTGATACCTCAGGGCAACAAGCATTTTAGAGGAAAGGAAAAGGAGAAAGAGAGTAATTTGAGGAAATTTAGATTGAATCCAAGGACATTAAAAAGAAGGATGTAAATAGAAAAATGGAATCTAATATTTCAAATGTGAATCTCTCAGCAAGTTGGTAAACTATTTAGAAGGAGATAAAATGTTCTAACATGAAAATTCTGTATATGTAAATGTCATATATGTTTTTTATGAATTTACATTGCACTCTAGTATCTATTCATATTGGTTACCTTTATAAATATTATTCTAAAAAATCAAAAGTTGGCAAGATAATCTGGTACAGAACATAAAAGACATTTTCTCCTAAGATTTGTGCTATCTAATTTGTCAAGAGCATTGTCTAATGGTGATTACAGCAAGTAATTACCATTTCCATGGTGCAGTTATGAAGCCATAGACATACAAACAAGGGTTGAGGGCACACCTTGCAGGTTAACACATATAAACTAATACAAAATCATATTACACAATTGCTAAAACACAGCTCCCATGAGGACTTAAAGAAAATCTAGATCTTTCCTGAGGGAAAGTTTTGAATCAACAGTATTCAGCATTATAAAAAGTGGTGACACTTCCTACCCCTTTAAAGATAAATTATTAACAATCTTAAATGCAAATGAACTGTTTAAAACCTTGGAAGGAAAGCTTTAGCCTAAATAAAGCCCAGTGGACTCATAACCCCAAGTTATAAATAAATTTATTTTATCACAAAGTTTTATTCAGATTTCTCTTTCACACACTGATACTATAAACACACAAATACCTATATTCTGTACATGTTAAAATATATTCAGGGGCTAGGCATTGTGGCTCACACCTGTAATCCCAGCACTTTGGGAGGCTGAGGCTGGAGGATCACCTGAGGTCAGGGGTTCGAGACCAATCTGGCCAACATGGAGAAACTCTGTCTTTCTAAAAATAACAAAAGTTAGCTGGGTGTGGAGGCCTGTGCCTGTCATCCCAGCTACTCGGGAGGCTGATGCAGGAGAATGGCTTGAACCTGAGAGGCAGAGGTTACAGTGAGCTGAAATCCCATCATTGCACTCCAGCCTGGCAACAAGGCGTGGTGCCTAATTTGTAAAAAAATGAAGTTATGAATAAAATGTATAAAATTTATATATATGTGAGTGTGTGTGTATATATATATATACACACACACATGCACATACATATATATTCAGAAGACTCAACCTCGCTCTTGGGTTTATTGTACTGACCTTCTGAAACATTCCATTTTTAATATAAGTAATATTTAATAACTAGTATTCCTTATAAATAGAACACTTTCACAATTTTGATGAATGAATAAAAACATTACAATCAGTTTTCTGGGGTTTTTTTTTGGAGTTTTATTGGGACAAAAAATTACAAAACAACATTTTAAGAGAGTGAAATGTTAATACATATATACACACATATATGTATGTATAGACACATACATGTATAGTATACACATTTGTATATGTAAATTTTTTTCCAAATTGGTTACAGCATTGTAAGTTTTCTTTTTCCCAGGGAATGATATATCCTCTTTGTATTTTGCAGAGAATAAGTTTCTTACATATAAAATAATAATGTTCCAAAAATATATTTGAAAGTTTAACATATTTTGCAGTCATAAATATTTTCATTATGCCAAATGTCTAGTCAAATAAAAAAATATATGGCAAGAATCTGTAGGGTGTGCCATACACAGTTGGGCCAGTTGAACACTGCACAGCATGTAAGGAGATGTTATTCAAACTGTAGACACTGGATTTAATATTTATTACAACATATTTTCAGGAGGAAGCAGTATATTGACAAAGAGGTATTTGTTATGATAGTCTTTGAAAAGATAAGAACAAAGTAATTTGAGGAAGGATCAACTTTTTCCCATTCACGTAAAATAACCATAAGAACTAGGGTAGCCTTGAGGATATACAGCAAGAAAATACAGTGCATGAGAAGGCTTATCCAGGCTTTGAATGCATCAGTAAATATAAAAATTAAATATAATCTTTTATTGTTGAAACTACAAGTAAATGGCTCAACTGTGGTAAGAATGAGACTCAATTTATCCACTGTAATCACTAGTTCCAACATAAAAAGGAGTGGACCCCTACAACTATGTCCATAGTTGATAGCCTTGTCTCTACTGACCATAGTTCATTTGATCTCAAGTGGCAACCTGGCTCACAAAGACAAGTTCATAGAATAAGCTGGAACAATCAATGTCTTTTTTTCTTTCAAATAATTTGACTTTGAGATTCCTAAAACAGGGTTGGGGGGACATTAAATCACAAAAATGATATAAAATCATTATTCACTACATGTATAGGAAAACAAAGTTAATCTTTGGAAGAGATAAAGTGTCCCAAGAGGAATACACATTCAGAGGATTCCTGAGTTATACACAATTAGGTAAAAACATTCTGTGAGTATTATCATAGCTATAAATCATTGAATTACCTTTATGACTTTAACATTTCTTCTTAGATTTTTGATTTTTGTATTATGGTAACCAAAATTCTGGGGAAAGTGAAATTAGTAAATCTACACATTGTTTAAAACACATGCCCTAAATTTTGGTATTATTAGTCACAGTAACTTAGTGCATATACAGAACGAAAGTATTTACCGTAGATATTGGCTCACCATAGAGTTCACATTATTACAAAAAGAAAAATAAATTCTTCAAATGTATTGAGTACTTATTGAAGTAACTTGTTAAGATGGTCAGAATATACAAAAATAAAGAACTTACTGTTGACAGAGGAACATTTTAGTCATATTATTTCATTATAATTTTATGTAGAAATAATAAGTTTCAAAGGACTTAGTATAGTTTAATTCAGTATGTACTGGCAATGTATTAATATCTTCAGTTTATACCTCTGCTCCCACTTTTAGTGCAGAGTAATAATTAGGCTCTGACTTTTTCTTGATTCAATCAGATAATTTTTCATGAAGAGTTGTAACCCTATAACTACCAAGTTTAAGGTTGTAGTATTTTGTTTGTTTGTTTGTTTGTTGTATGGGGAGACCTACATGGGTTTAGATTCCAGCAGATTATGAGGTAGAGCTACACTTGAAATATCCTAAACCTTGAGCATATTCAAACTTTCAAAAATTTTGATGAAAAAATAGAGCTAGGAATTCATGCCTTGCTTACTCTATAAAAAATAGTTGTATAGACATTTCAGTGAAGCAAGAAGATACTTTTATAAAGGAAAATAAAGCCTTCATCCACTTTTAATTTATGTTATGCACCTTCTTTTGGGAGCAAAATGAGTCATATACAGTTAATTCTGTTTCCTATACTCAAACTCTGTGAGAAAATTCACTAAGTATATTGGTTGCTACATTTTTCTTTGATAAATATTGTGTTTGAGGAAGGCTCGTGAGGCTTCATAATGCATAAGAGAGCATTTAGCATCAGAGAATTGTTGGATTTATTGAAAAACCAATGCTTAACCCTATTCTTAAATTCTTAAGAGATAGTATGAGGAAGTGTGTAAAAATAATATATAATTATAACATGGAATAGTAAAATATGATAATATAAAAAAATATATATTGCAGTAGTACTATGAGTAGCAGTTAAAGCCAGGTTATCTAACACGAAGGACCCAGGGTCTAGCCAAAGAATTGGGACCAGGGCTGCAGCCCACAGAGTTAATCTCTCCACAGAAGCTGGGAGTCAGGAAAAGTAATCTGAGTGCAAGGACAAGTTAGGAAATAGTAGAGAATACAAGACACAGACTCTAGAATGTCTCAGAAATTAAAACAAAACACAACAAAACAAAAAACTAGACTGACAGGTCAAGATGCTTAGTCTGGAGCCAAGAACTAGAAAAAAACTAAAGGTATTATTTACCAAAATATGGTAGGTGCTTCTCATACTTCAAGATATGATATAAGATAAATGTGTAGACATTTAAAAAGTACTATATGTGCAATTCATACTGCATATTTAAAAATGTAAAACTATCAGTGACTTCATGAATATTACCGGTGAGAAAAACAGTAAGGCTGGTAGGGTGGCAGATCTCGTGAACTGTAGGACATGTATTCCCATAAGTCTTCCAGAATTTCAGTTGTTGAACTAACCACTATAACTATTTGGTATAAATTATATAAATTATTAATAAGAATTATGTACTAGACATCATTGAAAAGTTTTACATTGTTTTTAATTAACTCTAAAATATTGCTTCTATTTACTAATAATTGTATAGTATATAAAATTCGTATAAATCAGAAAGTATAGGTTGGTATTTGGTTATGTTCCCCTCCTCTCTCCTCTTTCATTCTGGAATGCATACTATATTAGTGATTAATGTTTTAAAATAGTTAAATATTGAAATAATGTATATTGTTGGTGACTGTGAACAAAACTGAAAATTATTTGTGTCTGTTGCAGTTTATTGATGAATATATAGCACCTAGAACTGAGACACTGAATAAATATTTTCTGAATGAATAAATATCATTATATAGGTTTAAAAAACCCAGGTCAAAAAACAATGACAAAAGCACCTATCTTTTTGTGTTTAAAAATTTTCAGCTTTAAATGAAATAAAATAACACAAATACGATTAACATTTTTTTAATTTAAAATTTAGATTTTAACAGCTTGGTAATGAAAGTTAGCTCACTTTTTTGAATTTAAATCTGGCCTTCATATTCTGGATCAGAGCTATCCAGCCTGAAAAATCTCCTTAAGGTACAATAAGTAACCAAATTAAATTTAATGTATTAATAAAGCAAAGCCTAAAATTTCAATAGTCCTGATAAATAATATGTAGTACAACAGGGGGAGACATTGCAAGTGTTATAGCTTGGCTCTGTGTCCTCACAGAAGTCTCATGTTGAATTGTAAGCTCCAATGTTGGGGGAGGGATTTGGTGGAAGGTGATTGGATCATAAGGGCGGATTTTCCCCATGTTGTTCTCATGATAATGAGTGAGATCTCTCAAGGTCTGGTTGTTTTGCTCTCTCTCCCCTGCTCCAGTATGGTAAGATGTGCTTGCTTCCCCTTCACTTTCCTCCATGATTGTAAGCTCCCTGAGGCTTCTCAGCCATGCTTCCTGTACAACTTGTGGAACTGAGAGTCAATTAAACCTCTTTTCTTCATAAATTACCCAGTTTCAAGTTGTTCTTTATAGCAGTTTAAGAATTGACTAATACAGTAAGTATTAAGTAGTTATTTTATAACATTTAATTGCAAATCTCACAGCCGTTGAGATAATTCTCAGGGTCCTTATTAAACCTGCTTTAAAACGGTCAGGAGCCAGAAAAACGGTATCATTGCTGAAGTATAGTAGTTCTTAATTTTGGAATTAGAGATACATTTAGAAATGTAAATTATCTATAATAATTCAAATCAAAATAGTGTACTACAACAAACAAAATCCAATTATGTCAGTTTACCTAATCTTTTCCATTTTGTCAGATGAAAGAAAAATAATGGAGTCCATTTAGCTCTGCCATACTAGAAACACCCATCTACATGGAAAATATCTTTTAAAATATATCAGTTCCTTCACAGCAAATATCAGCATGGCATAGAAATAACACAGTGAGATAAGCTTAACCAGTAAGAGGGGTTTCACATAGATAAACCATTGCTCTTGCTACAAAATCTAGTCATGAATACGACACTTTGACCCTGGAGATACGTATGTACCAAGATAAGTACTTAAAGCTGCTAAACATCTTAATTGCATTAAGGAGTGATTCCACTGATTTCTAAAATTGTTTGATAAGGTTTTTAAATGAACAGTGAGAACACATGGACACAGGGAGGGGAGCACTACACACTGGGGTCCGTTGGGGGGAAATGAGGGAGGGATGGGGGGTGGGGAGGTGAGAAGAGATAGCATGGGGAGAAATGACAGATACAGGTGAGGGGAAGGAAGGCAGCAAACCACACTGCCATGTGTGTACCTATGCAACAATCTTGCAAGTTCTTCACATGTGCCCCAAAACCTAAAATGCAATAAAAAAAAAAAGAAATCAACCAGTGACTATTAATGATTACTGTTTTATACTGAAGTTTACCAGCCATTATGCAAGAAAAGTTCTGGATATTCTAAATTTTGAAGAACAAGTCTTTCTTGATGAAATTGTTAATCTTCAAAGAATGTTGGATGATTGGCAATGGATTGTCAGATCTCTCTCATGTGTTAAGTCTTTCTTGACAGTGATGATATCTCAGAAGGGATCCTCCTTCTGGCCAGCATCACAAGTAAACACAGGAATCTCTGTGATGTGAAACACCCTTCTCCTAAACTAAACAAAATATAATGAAATAATCTTGGGGTTCTGAAGTTTTAAGTAGTTCTGTTCATTTTCCTAGAAATACATATTTTATGTTGCTGTAAGTTGAAATAATTTTACTTCATTACTTTTAATTTAATAATTTGTTTATGTCTATATGAAAACCTATTAGCTAGAACTAAGTTTGGTTGAAAGTGAAAGAAGCACTCAAAAGAACTGTGTCTTGAAAAAAATCAAAACTTTGTATGTCTCTCATATGAGTCTATAGGTGGGAGGTCTAGGTCTGAAAGGGAATTCTCCTGCTAGTGGTTTTGATAATTTACTGAATATGAGGAGATTTCAAAAATGTAAGAACTGGAATGACTGTAAGATTTGGTTTGGGCAAATAAGTGCCATGAGTATCATTAAGTGAATATTACTAAGTGAAATAAGTATATTTAATATTATAAAAATTTATACTGTGTGCATGTATCTACATATACACTATATATAGAGAGAGAGACTGAGTCTCACTCCATTGCCCAGGCTGGAGTGCAGTGGTGCGATCTCAGCTCACCCTAACCTCTGTCTCCCAGGTTCAGATGATTCTCCTGCCTCAGCCTCCTGAGTAGCTAGGATTACAGAAACACACTACCACGCCTGGCTAATTTTTGTATTTTTAGTAGAGATGGGTTTCACCATGTTAGTTCAGCTGGTCTCATACTCCTTAGCCTTCCAAAGTGCTAGAATTACAGACATGAGCCACCACACACAGCCTATAAATATTAATATAAAAGACAAGGAAGTAGGATAAAATTTGAATATGATATGGTGAAATTACAGATGAACAGAATTTTAAAATGTTTATTGGGATCTTGGAAGACTGTTTTTGTATTATTAAATTAAAAATAGGAGACCTCAGTTAATGTCTGAGGCCATCTCTACTTTGACTTGCTATATAACAAACCACAAACTAAATTAGTTACATAAACAGACCAAAATCTAATTTAGGAGATTTTTTTTTTAACAAATAGCCAGGTTTCTACCAAATATAGACAACTGAGCTGCAGCCAATTACAGGCAACCAACTGATCAGACCATGCCTTCCTCCACTCACCACCCTCCCAAAACAAAAAGCCTCTTTGCAGGACCAAATAAGGCAGATACCTAACTGTAGCCAATCAGATGACTTTTCTAATTTGCTTTTCTCTTTGGCGTATAAAAGCCCACTGTGTCCACAGCTCAACAGAACTCTTGGCATCTGTTCTGTTTTAGAGTGTAGCCTAATTTATCAATTGTTCTTGCTCAGATAAACATCATTAATTAAATTTGTGAAAAAGTTTTAACAGTCTGAAATGCCATATTTGAAAATTGTCTATTTACCACTGGTAGTTTTGTTTTGTTTTGTTATATAATTTATTCAATTTTGTGTCTTATACTGTATATCAGAGTAGTCACTGTAAATTCATGATAGAAAAATAAGTGGCAGAAGAATCTTACCAGTGGGACACCCATGAGTGTCACCAAGATAATTCCACCCTAGATATCCTGTCATGTAATTTATACACAGTAATGCAGATAAAAATGATGTTTTTAAGGGAAAGGGTTGTAAGAAAAAAATGTTCGGTATTGACCCATGTAAATTATAGAGGTTGTCAGAACCTCCCAGTAGGAAGCAGAAGCTTGAGTCCATAGTCAAGGAAGAAGGTGATGTTAGAAATAGAGAACTGGACATTATCACAATTAAGATGGCAGAATAAACCATAGGAATAGTCATTTTATCCAAAAAGGGAGTGTAGAGTAAGAAGATAAAATCAAAAAGAGAGAGAGAGAGATTCATGAAGTAAAAGACAAAATAAGTAATGAGAACAGTAACCAGGTGGTCAATGAAATGGATGAGGAGTTTGTTGTCTTGGAAACCAAATTAGTAGCTTATAAAAGAAGTAGAGAAAATAGTATTGACAAACCTGAACTAAAGATCTGATGTGTCACATAGGGGCCCAAAAAAGGAAGCACAAGTTCTTCCCTTAGGACCCCTGTGACTGCAGTGAAGTCATGACTTACAATTAGTTTCTGGAGTACTCAAAATGGGAATGAAGGAAAAGTCAGGCAAAGAAAAGGAAATTGAAGTAAAGTGGATTGGGTGGACTTGCAGCCTCTGTTCAGAACCCAAGTTTATGATTGCTGGGATAGGTAGTGTCGTCCTTGCAGTCTTTGACTTCTGCTCAGCCACATGGCAATAGGAATAGGCACTGGGTATGAAACACTTCCATCCCAAGAGAAAAAGGGTGCACATTGTCTATGCTGGGCTTATCACCTCATGTGATGATATCTTTACTTGTTTCAGACTCAAGGTTTGCTGCTCCTTTATCCTGGCTGAGCGTGTGTGTCAATGGCACCAATTATATACCCAGATTTTGGTACTCCAGACTCAGTAGCGGAGAGATTGTGGTGTTTCTATTCTGGTATGTGTAAGCCAGTTGCCCTGTGTTGCTTTCCAAGGGCACCCACTACCCATGGTGGACTGGGGCACACCACTGGAGCTAATCTAGCTCTGTCTCTTCTCTATGTGAGTAAATGCACTATTGAATCCAGTGCTTGCCTCTATTGTGTTTTTCATGGCAATTCCCATAGGAAGTTGCACTCAGTAGACATGTTTAGACTTCTCCTGTTGCTTAGCATTGGAATGATCTTTGCTTTCCTCCTTGTAGTGGGAGTCTTTCCCTGGCATGGTAACCAGTTCATGGAGTTTTGTTCAACAATTACCCTTTCTGTGAAGGCAAGCTGCTGGCCACCATGAGACATGTGCCCAATTCTGTACCTGCCTGTGCAGTATTTAGGGCTACAAAATTACGTTCCTTATAATGCTGAGGCATTATAAGAAATTTTGTGTTCCATTGTTTGATGAGCTTGCTGTTGACACAAAACACAAATTAAAATGCTTCACTCAGTTTTCCATGCATGGGAGAAAGACTGTAATTGCTCTTGTCTGAACCTTTATTCTTTGGATCTTAAGTATGTCTTCTGTGTTTTGTAACTTACACATAATTTGATAATATGAATGGCCTACAGGTACCTATTATTTACCTGTTGGCCCATTCTAAATGTATAAACTCTTGTTATTAAAGTGATATCCTCAAATGACAAAAATCCTGTTTTTAGCTGATTCTTTATCCTTTACATTATCAGACAAAAACAAAACAAAACTACAACAACCTGATGTTTTTCTAGAAATATTGAGAACAGCAAAGAAATTTACTAGGCCAATGTATAAAATGTGATTCCACTTTGTTTAACTTCTGGAAGGATATCGCTGACTTTCTATATTGTTCTCATCTTAGAGGACAGCCATAACACAGTACCAGAAAGTGGGTGGCCGAAAACAGCATAAATCTGTTGTCTCATAGTTATAGTTGTAGAGGCTAGAAGTCTGGAATGGATATGTGAACGGGACCATTTTTTTTTTTCTAATCTTCTAAGGGAGCATCTCTTTGAGTCTTCTCGCGGCTGGGAGCCCCAAGCATTCTTTGGCTATAGCAGCACAACTCCGGTCTCTGCCTCTGTTCTCACATGGTCATTCTCTTTCTATGTCTGTTTTTTCAAGGCTTTTTTCTTTGTCTCTATTTTCTCTTATAAGAATACCACTCTTATGGAATTAGGACTTAAACCAATTTATTAGGACTTTATCTTACCTAATTATATCTGCAAAGACCTCATTTCCAAATATTGTTAACATTCACAGGTACATGCCATTAGGAATCAAACATATCTTTTGGGGATAACACATTTAACCCTTGGAAACTCCTCATTACTAAAATCCAATACTTAAATATTGCAGTACATATTTCTTCATTCTATTTTTTTTTTTTCACTGTTTAAGTGGTGTGATCATAGGTCACTGCAGCTTCAAACTCCTAGGCTCAAGCAGTCTTCCCACCTCAGCTTCCGGGATAGGTAGGACTACAGGCACATACCACCACATCTGTGTGATTTTCTTATTTTTGATTTTTACTTTTTGTAGAGGCAGAGTCTCACTTTGTTACCCAGGCTGCTCTCAATTGCCTGGCTTCAGGCAATCCTTCTGCTGCAGCCACACAAAGTGCTAGGATTACAGAAGTGAGCCACCATGCCCGGCATCCTTCATTCTATTTCTGATACACCCACAGACTGCCTCTCCTAGCTCTACCGAAGTGAGGCACTACTGGGTGATTGATACTGATCGCTGCAATGATACTTAAAAGGTTGAATATTAGTCCCAACCCTGGCTGTAGAGATTTTAGAGACCACAGCTTGAAAATAGTGGTTTCCAGTAACAATGGAATCCTCTTAGGTGACCAAACCACATTTAGGAAAGAGCTTACGGACACCTCCACATTGGACTTTGCATACACAAAAAAGATAGACTTTAATTGTTAAGATAATAAGATGCAGACAGACCACCTTGACTAATATGCACATTTATATTAAGAGGTTGTACTGCTAAATTTTTATTTAACATAGCTAAAATGAGGGCCAATAAATGTGTATGATTCCTTCAATCACACAATTTCGGGTTCATGTTATAGTCGTAGAGCTACTCTCTCAAAACGTAATCTCTCTCAGTGAGCAATATACATACGTTTTTAATCTTCAACTTATATTTTAGATTCGGGGGTACATGTGCAAGTTTGTTGTCTGGGTGTATTGTGTACACTAAGGTTTAGGGTAGAATGATCCTATAACCCAGGAGCTGAATGTAGTACTCGAAGAGTTAGATTTTTAACCCTTTTCCTCCATCCCTTCCCCATCTAGCAGTCTCTAATGTCTATTGTTGCCATCTTTATTTCTATGAGGAATGTTTAGCTGTCACTTCTACACAGTGTTTGGTTTTCTGTTCCCGCATTAATTCACTTAGGATAATGGTGTCCAGCTGTATCTGTTTGTGCAAAAAAATCATAATTTTGTTCTTTTTGGTGGCTGTGTAGTATTCCATGGTGTTTATGTACCACATTTTCTTTACTTAATCCCTGATTGAAGGACACCTAGGTTGATTCCATGTCTTTGTTATTGTGAAGTCCAATGAGCAATACTTTTTTTAAAGAGTAAAATAGTTGTAATAAGCAAATATGTCCCTAAGTATTTTCAGTGTATTATAAAAATGAACTAATAGTTTTAACATAAATGGTATTTAAATATCTGGAAAGCAAAAGTGTTACCAGATTTTATTTTTTCTGGCAGTGATCAGTTATGATTCTCCTTCATCTCTATTTAGAACACATACAGGTATGTATCCTGAAAACGTGTTTAGACTACTGTATCTGCATTCATATCTTTATTCATTTATACATTCACACAATGGTTTAACAGCTATTTTGGCACCTATTATGTTAAATACTTTGGAGTTAGGTGTTGCATAGTGAAATAATTAGGCAGACTCAGCTTGCATTGAGTTTACAGAACATGGCAGAGAGAGAAAATTAAATATAAACAAGGATGCAGTTGTACACACTTGCAAAAGTGTTGTGAAGGAAATGCAGAGGGAGGTGTGAAAGTATACAGCAAGGGAAAATTATGTAGTCTGTGTCAGCCAAAGAATGTCTCCATGAGAAAATGATATCTGAGCGGAGCTCTAAACACTGAGAAAGAATTAACTGAACTGAGGGAAGTGGCAAAAAGTATTTAATATGGAGAAAAGCAGTCCGAAGGCGTTGGGAGAAATAATATTTATTTCTAGGAATATAGAGAGCATGTAGGAAAATATTTAAAATGAGACTGGAGAAAAGGTGAGGGCCAGAAGTGACCGGAAGACGCTGGCCCTGTTAGGGACCTGTTCTATATACTGAGACGGATACCTGTTATGGTCATATCTGCAGTTTAAAAATAAAATTCTGATTACAGCTTGGAGAGGAAAAAAATGGTGTATGGATGTAATTTAGGGGACATTTGTAGTATATTAGGGAAGAGATGTTTATAGCATAGATTAGGAGTGTTGGAAATGAAGAGAAGTAAATTAATTGTACAAATATTTAAGATGTGTATAGGTATATATTGTGACAGATGTAATTCTTACTCATTATGTTGACTTTCCTGAGGATGTCTTTCCTGCTTATGGTATGTCTGTGCCCTTGGATATTCTTACACATGTATTGGGAAGAGCCAGGAAGAATGTAGATAAGGGATAAGACAAAATTTGTCAAAAAATAATCACCTAGTTAGAATTTCACTTCCAAAGTCTCCTTAAGATCCTCAGTCAATTCTGTGTTCTTACTCCCAATAAGTACAATTTCCCTTCTATTAAAATACTTTATCTTCCTTTATTTTTTCCCACAGTTAACATGAGAGGTTTATCTATGCTATCTTTGGTTTGGGATGGACCCTCTTGTATGATTTGCTCTCTTTTCCATACCTTCAACAAGTTGTTTTTCCTTCTACCTGGTCATTGGGGTCCTAGGTCTGTAGGTACTCAGAGGTGAAGTCTGTTTTATTAGAAACACAGAACACTTGTTGTAAGTAGTCTTGGATTATGCCAGATATATCTAAATGTTTTTCTTCCATCTCTCTCAGTTTGAATCTGAAATGGAAACCAGCATGCTTATTTGTGCAATCCTAGACATTTTTGTTGCTCTGCATTACTTAGCCATCCCTCTCACAACTCACATCCACCGTTGGTATCTCAAAAGTTGTACCTTTTTGTTTTAAAATACTTCCCCTGCATCACATTATGCATATCTATATCATGCATTCTTCTGGCAATAGGCTTATCACAATAAAGTTTATGTTTTAGTCTTTCCAAATATATTTTCTATTCCTCAAGTTTTCTGAGCATGCTAATGTGAACTTCTATTATTAGTAAGCCTTTGCTAACTTCTACAAAACCTGGATTTTAAGATAAACATTTTTCTATGTACACAAATTAATCCTTAATTTGAAAGTCATGGTTGAATTAAGACATATTCGTTTTTAACTGCATGTGACCTACACAGGATTTAATGATTCAAAGCTGGAGAAGGTAGGAGAAATTAAATTTATGTCTTTCCTCTTTATAAGAATGTCATTTTCTTTCTTCATAAGATGGCATCTGGATACTTAGTGAAGCTTAGATATCAAGTAGATTGGAGAGACAGTCCATGATCCACGCACTTATTTGCTCTCTTGTTGAAAAGTTCCCTTTCAATATCCTCTTGATTACTAGGCTGGAATTGACTAACATGTAGTTGATCCACAGTATTTTTTTTTTTTTAATATCAAGCAGTCACCAATGGCATGCACCTGGCCATGATCACTCAGTACATCATTCTGATATTTTTACCTTGTTCCATGCTTAATTCTGAGCCACTGTCTTCTCAACACTTCAACTTATGCGTACATCCTTCTAGGATTTTTGTCATCAGTGGGGTGGTTGCCATAGCTCTTCCAATTAAAGCAGAGAGAAGGTTCAGGTTAAAACATAAGGAGACACTTAGAAGATATTTTGCTACTCTGTACCTATGGTTGAAGTAATTCTACTTATAAGAACATTTCTAAATGAACTTTAAACATCAAACACCTTTAGAACATGTTAACATATAAAAGATTACATGTAAGTTCAGCCTAAAGGACTTTTTAAAAGTTAGATACAATTAATCAAATGTATTGTATTCCATTATCTTATCTTAAATACAAGATGGGGAGGACTCATTTTGAGTACATATTCATAGAGAAAATAGTATTAGAAAGCCCTGAGTGTATCCAAGGACCAATAAATGAATATAGGCAAGCTTCTTAGATTAGTGAAAGCATAACACACACACACACACACACACACACACACACACACACACAAAATACAGGCACTAATACTATTTTTAATATGACAGTTCATAATCCAAATGTGAGTATATTTAAGAAAGATGTTAACATAATCCTTCTAGTAAACTATTACGCTGAAAAACGCAATGCATTTAAAATAAGCAACTTTAACATATATCAATATTATTTTTGTATACAGTATATCTGTTCTTCTAAACATAATGAGCATAATGTACTGAACAGCTCTAAGAATTTTTTTGCATGTGGTCCAGACATGATAGCTCATGTCTGTAATCCCAGCACTTTGGGAAGCCAAGGCGGGTGGATTTCCTGAGGTCAGGAGTTCCTGACCAGCCTGAACAACATGGTGAAACCCTGTCTCTACCAATTACAAAAATTAGCCAGGCATGTGGCACATGCCTGTAATCCAGCTACCTGAGGCAGGAGAATCTCTTGAACTTGGGAGGCAGAGGTTGCAGTGAGCTGAGATTGCGCCATTGCACTCCAGGCTGGGCAACAAGAGCAAAACTCCGTACCCCACACCCCTGCAAAAACGAATTTTTTTTTTTTGGTTGGGCAAATCTAGCATTTTAGAGCTATATTCATACACAAATAAGATATCTTAAAGATGGATATACAAACATTGAGGGCTTCAGCACATGGAGAGAAAGAATCTCAATATTTTGGTAAAGAAAACGATAATCACAAGAATAAATTTTGCATTATGGGAAACAGTATAACAATTGGTAACACTAGTTATACTGCATATGTGTTAGCATTTTAAAATATTAATTTCTATGTAAATCAATAATTCTGAAACTTTGAAATGCACTACTGAGATTCTAGCTTTTTTAAATTTTATTTTTAAGCTCAACAGAAACTTGTCTTAGTGCTACCTCTAAAGTAAGGATATTTCTTTTCTTCATGGAGACCATCTGCCCTCCCCTTCTTTGTATAAATACAGGTTCAGTCTTTTGATTCCTTCAATAGCATTAAGTGAAGAAAGAAAATTAATTATATTGTAAAAGACAGTTATGGGGCACTAATGTTTGGAAAGAACAGTGTGCATGAACATCACGTACATATCCAGCTGTTAAAAAGAATCTTGGTAAAGTGAACCCCAGCTGTGTTATTCCAGATGCCCATTTTCACTTAATGACCATTAGACAGGCAACAAGGCCATTAGTGGATGTACGTAATGAAAGAAACAGCTGTCAGGTAAATCAAGTTTTAAATGCCTAAGTTAGTAAGGTAAAATAAACGAAAGTTTGATAAAAGGTTATTTTTAAATTAATATAAACCTTATGTAAACTGTTTTTCAATACTAATCTGTCCCTAGTAAAATTTATATGTAATTATATGAATGATATATAATTTTTAAAAATAGTAAAATAAATATGTAACAACATTGTTCATTATATAGCAATGTAAAATGAAAGTGCCTTAAAACAGGAAGTAGTAGTGAAAACTAACTCACTCATTTATCACACATTCTCTTCAATCGTGAATTGTGTCTAAAATTAAGTAAACAGATGAATAAATAGTCATCTGTTTAGCCTCTGCTTCTGCTTGGATAATTCTAAAAACTGAAATACACTGCTTAATTTTTATTAGACAGTTTTGGTTTTTAATAACTTATGATTAATGATTTGATGTCCATACTCTCTAATTACCCGAACAAAATTTTCACTATGATCTCTGAGGCAAAGAAAAAAAATGTTTGTTTTCATATGACAGGCCTCCAGATATTTGGTTGAAAGTGTGTGATTTGGGCAGGTAGCATCAGGGCTTTTTTCTTCAATCTGGTTTCTAATGTCAATATTCTGAATGCCCTCGACATTTTTTTATGAAATAAATACATGACTATAGAAATCATGATTTTATATATATATATATATATATATATATATATATATATATATATATACACACACATGTTTATTTTTTATTACATTAAGTTAATTTATTTCAATTAATTGTGTACAAAAGTCTTAATATTTATTCCATTATATCTAATAATTAAAACTAGAATAAAGGATAACAGCATCTTACTATGCTTGGAAATCTTCCTATTAAAAATTCAGTTTTAACCTCATTTTTGAAGAACAGCTGCCAATACTCTTAATAAAGTCACAAAGTTAATAGGATCTAGATCTCCTACCTTGAGCAATTTCCATCTCATTAGGCCACAACTATTTTAAGGATTGATGCATATCCAAATAATAGAAAGAATTAAGTAACACAAAAAGAAAGTAAATTATTGAGCTATTATGTAATTTGGATTTATTTACAGCTTTTGATTTTAAACCTTCTATTTCTGTCTCTCTCTGACTCTCTGAGGGAGACAGAGATAGAGAAAAACATAGAGAAGCAGACAGAGATAGAGTGACAAAGTTTAAGATTTAAAATCCAAAACTGTGTACACATCTGAAACATAATTCATATATGTATTTATAGATAGGTATAGATATAGAGTTACAGATATAAAGTTATCCATAGATAACTCTATAAATGTATAAACTCTATTGATATACAGATAGAGATGTAGATATACAGATATAATGTTATATCTATCTATTTACAGATATAGATATCTAGAAATATGTCGATCTATATATCCATTCATATCTATAGATGTCTATAATATATAAACTGTATATATGTATCTAAACTTTAATGTATCTCTCTACCTAGATATAGGCATCTGCCTATAGATATATCTATCTCCCTGTCCATGTAAGATATATATATATATGTAGGTCTAGGTAGATAAATATAGTTTATATTGACATATTTATGTATATAGTATGTATACAGATAGATAGGTATAGAGAGATAAATGGTTTACTCATGTGTGTATATCTGTCTATCTACCTATATGGAGAAGAAGAGAGCACAACTTAACCTAATTTATGGATTAGAAGTTAATAGGTCATGTGTTGAATCTATGAGATAGATTAAGGATTCTACCCACCTCATGTGCTACCATGAATATCTTGCTATTAGAGGAAATTTATGTGTTTAGCTTTTTTTTTTTTACCTGAGAAAGTGAAGGAAAATTAGCTGTGCATATATCTATTTATGAAACTTGTATCTTCGTATTTATGCATGTCTATTACTTTGCTTGCAGTGTATCATGAATAGGAAATAAACTTTTGGAAATACTAAAAGGTAGAAAAATGATGAGTTTACAGTGGCCAGAGAAAGTCAAATATTAACACTTGTACAAGTCTGTAATTGCGGAAATGGGGATGCTCCTAAGCATGCTACGAGAACAGATTCTAAAGATAAAACCAGGGAGGTCTTTCTTGTAATAGTCAGGATGGCAATTGCCAGCATGCATTAGTAGCACCAGGTGATTTGGCTCCTTTTCCTTTGCATTACACCACTTGTCTTTAGCTAAAGTAAACAGGCATATTTGTAACCCTCTCCTTCTGCCTCTTCCTGATGGTGGGGTTTGGGAGTAAGAGAAGCAGAGCAGGTATTCTAGGTTATACGTAAAGTCTAGGAGTAATGTGGAGACCCAGCATTCAGAAGCCAGCACACACCAGCTGACTATGCATCAGTGAAACATTCCTGGCATCAGTATCTGCAACTGACTGGTAGACATACAAGCAGAAATTCTCACAGTAAAGATAAGCAGGCAACCAAACATCATCAAACGTTTCAGAAAACTCAACCCTGCCTAAAAGAAAACATAAGCCCACAAAAGGAAAAACAAATAGTTCTTGAATAGGAGGAGAAAATAAATTAATTCATGTGTCATTTATTCCAGTTCATAAGTAAAATACTGGTTTTAGGAATTTAAAATACGGGTATCAACAAAAACACAATATGGTAGAGATCCTACTTGAGTGTCGGTTTGAACAAACAAACCTAAAGCTCCCTATCAGTTGGATAGGGAAATTTGAATACCCATTGAATACTTGGTGATTTATGAAATTGTTGTAATTTTTATCTGATTATGGTATCATGTTAACCTCATAAGAAAAAGAACTCTTGTTCTTTGGATGCGTATTAATACATTTGTACCTAAAATAACGTAACTTCTGGGATTTACTTCAAAATACAATGACGAGTAGTTGTGTGATACGGATAGAAGTAGAAATTTTAAAAAATTGTCCATAAAAACAATGTTTGGATGAAGGGTATGTAAGACCTAATAATGCCATTGTCTATACTTTGCATCTATTTTATATTGACAAATAGCAAAGGATACAAAGGTAATGAGTTACAAAAATATTTTTTAAATTAGGTTGATTGACAGACCCTAAAAGTTTAGTGGTTAATAAAACCTCTATAATTTACAACTTAGTCATTGATATTTGAAGAGGAGGGAGTAAAATATATGTGGTTTTTAAAAAGAGCTGATACCACAAACAACCACTCAGAACTTTAGCACAGGCTACTGAATTAAATTAGAATGAATGCAAGAAAAAAAGCCCTCAAATTATACACATTGTAGAAGAATGTTAAGTGAAAGAGAATAAAGAAGAAATTAAAAATTCTTTAAAGGTAATTAAATGGAAGATTGGCTATGTAAGCAAATATATATCTGTATTTCAAAGCTAGACTATTAGTGTACAAAGGAGATGACAACTATATATTTTCAAGTAAATA